TCAGCCGCTTTGTTCAGTTCATAGGGCTGATGTTAAGAGTTAGGTCGGCCGCGCATAGCGAAAGAACCAATAGTCGTCTATTGGTTCTTTCGCGCCTTACGCTCGGCCGACCTAACTCTTACTTGCCGTCTACAGATCCGCGCATACCTGACCGGAGATCATTGCTCGATCCCCGACGCCCGGAGTGTCCCCTACTGCGACGTTTGAAGGATAGTTCCCTGACGCGCTCTGCCTCCTTCTTTGCGAGCATTACTACTTTGCAGAAAGAGGAGAAAGGAGACTGCTTCCCAATGCCTCTCGCTCCATGACCTCCACTAAGCTAACGACACTCGGGCATTTCCTCCCGCCGGTTCCGAAACAGGAACCTGCCCTGTAAGCACCTGCATCGCCATGGCGCCTCTCAAGCCACTCACTCCTTAAAGAGGGGTCTTACCACTGTTATAACAGCGTGCCCGGACCTCGGTTGCGATAGACGCTGCTTCCACTTTGCTATGAGATCGCGCCGGAGCTTATTCCGCCACGCACTAATATGGCGCGGCGGAGGATTTTCGCCCAGGATTTGCACGCCTGTAAGCGTGCAAACGCATTTGCCTCTAGCCCTGATGGTGGTGATCCGGCGAACCGTGGCACGGTCTGAGGCTGACGCTTTCTCAGACAATATTAGATGATTTTCACTCTTAAATAAATCTTTGGATCGGACCTGACCTTTTTGGGTCATCCAGTTTGAAACCACGACATTTGATCAACCAGTTAGTCGGTGTTCCTATGCATGTTTTTACTACACTAAAGCAGTAAACTCCATGTTACTTATTCATATTGAGACTCAACTCAGGGGCAAGTAATGTTTTTTTCTTGAGAAGTGCACGTTTTCACATATAAGTCAGCGACTTGCACCTACTTATCTATACCTGTCGGACTAGCTGATTGATAATAGTACTTGTAAGCTTGTAACCTCCGGACAAGAAATTTAATTTATTGTGAATGTTTCGAAAACCCTTTGACAGATAGCAAAGGTACATAAAGCAGCTCCTTTTTTCTCTCAAGGTGGAAAATCCTCATGGAGCCCCTTCGCCTGGGGAGACTGTCAGTCTTTTACTGACTAAAAACCACCTTGTTGTCCCGTCTCTCACGTGAGGACGCGGAATCAAAATTCATCCGCAGTACATAAGACAGCTAGTCCAAATCTTGAGCATTGGTATTTACATTCCCGCCGCGGTTAAAGCAATCAGTCACAACAGAAAGCCTAAGTGACATACCTACTTGTAATAGATCGCGTCATGTCAATCAATTGCATTTGGAGTTTGCTATTTATTCAGTACACACTGGTAGTAATACTTATGCACATGTATGGGGGATTATTACCCTTATTATATTAGTATGATGTAGGAGACATAGTATGAACTAACACACCATTAATCGTTATGTTACTCACATCCTAACCTGTATCTAACCCTTCAAGGAACTACTTCTGACACCTGATACCTACCCAATGGTTGGTTGGGTAGGTATCAGGTGTCGGATATTATGGTAGATCTATACTCCTAGAAATAGCATAGAAATATAATTGTATAATAATACAAAATTATGTCAATCCCTACCTAGATTGCAAACATGGAATAGAATATGAACAAAATTCCCTTATCAGTTACAGTCCATGATACACATAGCACAAAATATAGGTATGCAGTTTTTCCTTCAATGTAACTTGCACAGAATTGACCATTAAAAACCATTCTTAGGTTTAGGAAACCTTAAAAAAGATTAAACTGCTAAATGAAAGCCACATAAATACTATTATTTAGTTTATTGTTCACTTAGTGTGTGTAGGCGCGTGGTGTGCTTGTGCGGCAGCCTTCCTCATCTGTGTCAGTACGTTGCTCAGCTCTTCACGCTTCCTCTTGGCACGGATGTGTGTGCCCAGACGACGCTTCAAGAACTTCAGGGCACGCTTGTCCTTTGACACCTTTGTGATAAAAAATAAAAACATTAATTGTTTATCTTCCTACACTTACAAAAATATCAGGGACAGTTATGTATAGTTTTGTAGTAACTATTCTAGTATAAATTGCAAAATAAAAACAATGCATATACATGTGTACAAGCTAATGAAAAACAATACTATGCATAAATTTCAACCTTGTTTTATGGCATGGGGCAGAATACCAGCTTATAAATAATAACCTGATACCTGAGCCCATAAAGGAGTTACAAGTGATTTGCTGGCTGATTGGAGATAGAGCATGGAGTATTATTACTTCAACAATAAAATCATGCATGCATTGTTTGACATCAGTTTACACCAAAGATCTGTCTATATTAGTCACAGTGCTAGTTATTGTCCATCTGAGTATTTTGTCTATAATAGTAATATTATAAATAAAATAGTAAAAAGGAACTTGTATGACTACTAGGTTGATATAGTCATGGTTCTCAGCATGTTATCCATAGATTATTTTCATTCACTGACAATAATATGCAAATGCCCGAGTCTGTTATTGTTTGAATTTCTTCAATGCAGTACTACTTTTATTCTAACTAATATTATAAATACTACTACTAATGAGTTTGTTTGAATTCTTTATTCAATTCCTTGTACTCTTTCTTTCTCAATAGTTTAAACATTCAGTTGGTAATATCAGGAAATACATAGGCTAGGTTCACTCAGGCAGAGCTATGAGGAAAGCTACTCATTAGCAAGTTAAATCTGTGGGCAAAGCTACCTAGTTAGTACTTAATAACAACCACTAACCTTCAACAATTCCATAGCCCTCTTCTCATACTGAGCATGTCCAACAACTTCACGGACGAGGTCACGCACGAATTTTGAGTGTTTGGTTTGGAGCTGGAAAGATACCGTGAAAAGATTAATATAAACAGAAATTTATAACCTGAACAAATTATCGATTGCAAAGTGACGATACTTGCGACTCGAGTCTACAAACATAAGGGTAATATTTATTAATTTTGTGAATAAATTCTTACAGGTTCAATGATTAACCTGAAAAATAGATACTAGAACGTTTAAAACATCGCGAAGAAAGGTATTAAATTAGATCGGACACGATTCCTCAATGCTAACAAGATTCAAAACATAACCTCTGACATGTCTAGATATAATAATATCTGTGAATACTTACACCCTTTAGCCTGGCTGGCCTGATTTTGATGGCTTTGTCAGTAATACCCTTTTTGCCAGCAGAGATTTTAAGTGTTTTGTGTCCCTTTCGGAGACCGACCGCTAACTCAAATCGAGGAGCCATGCTGAAATAAAAACACACAAACTGTAAGGACAAAATTAACACATTAGAACTTTCTTCAGACGATATAAGATCTTAATTCACTAAAACAATAAGCGAAATCTTTTAGATTAAATAGATTTTAAAGGAATTAATTTTATTAAAATTCTACGTACATTTCGGATTGACAGATCCGACCAGAAAGAATTTGATATGTTTTAGTAATGGGCAACTCGAGTTATCTAACTCGGGCAACTCGAGTTAGACCGTGAGCGAGTCAGCCCGAGTTAATATTTCTGCAACTCGGGTTGAACCGAAGAGCGCGCGCCGCTCGACGCCGTCGCCCGCTCGCCGCCTAGCCCGCGATTCGCGAGGCCCGAACGACACCGAGCGAGCCCGAGTCAGCACGAACAACGAAACGTAGTCGCGTCGTCCGAGCCGCGAGCCGCGAATGAAAGAGATAGTTCTCGTCTTCGGCGAACAAATGACAGAGTTTTAACACAAAAGATTAGATATTTGTTTTGTTTACGTTTTTGTTATTACTACTTAGTTCGTAATTTATTGTTTTGTTGCGGTATTATTAGTTTATTAAGTGTTGTTTGTCTGATTAATAAGTTTAGAATGGCTCCGGGAAACAGGAAAAGTGTGGCGTGGGAGTTTTTTCGAAAATAGACAATAATACTAAAGTACAATGCAATTTGTGTTCTAGTCAATACAAATTTAGTGGAAATACGGGTACCTTAGTGAACCACCTAAAAAAACACATTATACAATAATATAGTGAAGCTGTTGGCCCAATCTTACAACTTTCAATAACATTAAAGTCTGATTTTTTGACAAACTTATTTTATTTGGCTATCATTAGCATGGACTCGACCCCACACAGCCCGTCGGGCTCGACAAGCAAACTAGCAACCCGCAGAACGATGCACCGAGTCGAGCGTTTACTAACTCGAACGGACAACCCGGACAACGCGGCGAAGGACGCGACGTATCTTATGGCAGATCGGGTCGAGTCAACTCGAGTTGCAGCCCGAGTTGGCTATCGGGTCAACTCGAGTTACTCGAGTTATCAAAAAGACGACTCGGCCCATCACTAATATGTTTTTATTTTTGAGACTAGTGTAGTGAAGAAGTTTATAAATTGTCGGCAATGACATCCATAGACATTTAGTCGATATTATAATTTATTTTTAGACGACTATTAAAATATGTCGATATATTTGAAAATTATCTTTTTAATTTTTTATTCATACTTCAATACAAATAATACGTTACGAACGGTAAATAAAAATGAAATAGTGGAGCGAAATTTTTTTTGTCTCTAATGTTCGCCCGCAATTGGATTTAATCTATTCCTATGGTAAGCCTTTCCCACACCCTAACCACACACATACAAGTTATAGTAGTAACTAGTGTTGGGCTTGGGATTTGAAATGATTGCTAGTGAATGAATTGAAAGCATGCTGTAAATTAATAAAAAATGTGTGATATAATTACTATATAAAATGAATTATCAGATTATCTATATTTTAATAACGACACACAAATGTCAATGCCCGGACCCGTCAACGTCAAGTTTTTTGACGTTAGTGAATGACAATGTTATCTTATGTTCGGAAATCCTTAAACAAAAATATCGTGTTCATAATATGATACAAAAAAATATACACAAGTTATTAGATTTAATTAGATTCTCTAACATACTATAGAATAAATGCAGATAATATTCTCATAGTTTCTATAAGTACCTAGTAAATTAGATGGCAATCGACGATGCAACTGATGTCAAATTATCAACAAACAACAAATATGGCTGCAGAGTTGGCGTCTTTCATAAAATTAGACGTTCTAAGCGTATTTTATTTTTCAATATCAAACAATGTGTAGTAATTGATGATTAATAATTTAAAATGGGATATACATTAGTAAACGATGTCTATTTTTTAGGCGCTTACAATATTTTGTGTCCGTTTTCAACTAATGGGACGAATTCCTAGAAGTTCTAATATTTTATAACTCTATCGTCCGGATCGCCGCGAATCTATGAAACTCAATTTGGGTCTATTGTAAAATATAATATTATAAGATGGATTTCTTACGAGTGTGTCGTATTTGTTCAATAATGGACGTTAAAATGCACGATCTTCGTTCGTTTCCTCTAAATTTTTTCTATGAGTTCGTAGTCGGAACCAATGTAAGTTGATTTATTGTTTACATTTTGAAAATAAGTCTGAATATTAAACAATGATTGTTAAACTTCCGTCACTGAGGTCCAATAGAGGCCACTACAAAATACAAGGACTATATAATTATAAATTAATATTGCGTCAACTAAATCTATGCCTTTAAGTTTAAAGATCCAATAAACATTTTTTTTTTCAGCCGATTGCCTGCAACTTGCCGCCTTATGCTTGTTATGAGTGTGCAGCTCTTGTGATGAAATTTTATAATTTTAGGCAAAAATGTTTAAGAAATCAAGATGTTCTGAATGGGATTACAGATATTTATGGGAAGGTCAGTAAAGTTTTTTTTGTATATAATTTCTGTTCTAACATCAACCACATAATTATAACAAGGACATTGGTATTATCAGTAATAAACTAGAGTAATATACTTAAATATATCCTTGCTACATTCATAACTTACTGGTATATTATTATTGTGCTACTGCACAAGGTATAATGCAATGATTCCTATATGAGTTATGTGTATCATTTTGTAAAATTTGTGTGAATTTGTTCTTTCCTTTGTTTGTATGTTTTTTCTCAATTCCGTATGAAATTTAAAAAAAAACTTTATCTTTAATTAAAATTTGAAGACAAAATTTTTTGTTGAATGTTAAAAATATTTTTTATAAAGTTTTATAAAAAGGTTTATACTGTTCCATTATCTCTTTGCAAATTACATGACGCTGTCTCCTAACACTAGACAATATTTTCGTAATTATCGTTCACATTGCGCTCCTAACATATCTTTATTCTCTGTTGGAGATCTGAATAAAAAAAATATTGTTTCAGTTAAACCCGGTTGAAGTAAGAGCAATCAACAGAAAGGAACTCAACATAACTTCTAATCTCACCATAACTCACTTAGAATGCATAGATACAACATGTGATGTATCTACTAATGAGCTTGTAAAACTGGAACCTGAAGAAGATGAGGATAAGGTTAAAGTTGAGGACCATAATTATGCAAGCATAGATCATGTAGATGATGTTCTCTCAAGCGATGATGATGAACCATTGTCTATACATAAAGAGAAGAAACTTAAAAATAAAGAATCGGATGAGGAAATGTTTGAAGATAACTTTGATTATGATGAAGTGAGTATAGATAGGATTTTGGATAGTTAACGCAATTCTTTCTTATAACTTCTTATAAGAAATATTGTGTAACAAGCGCGCATATTCGCGCGATAGTGGAATCTGTGCAATATGTTAATTAATACTCACAGTCTCTAAGAATTGACTCAAGTCTTAATACTATTACTGCATCAATTTGAATGAAGCTGTTTCAGTCTATTATTGGTCTATTTATGCCCAAAAAACATTTTTTCAGTTTGGAGACACCATAGATGAAAGAAAATCAGTAGATGATACAGAAGTAAACAAAGTCAAAACAAGAAAAAAGAAACATCGAAAAAATAATAGAAGTGGAGCTTTCAAACATGTAAAAATGCTGTCAAACCCCAGTCTGTCTGCAGAAAATATGGATGATTTTGATCAATATATTACTGTTATAACACTGACGGTATGTATATTAAATCATAAACAGAACTATTATTTCTATTGATAGTTAATTAATGACATACAAATAAATAATTTTTGAAACTTTTAGGTAGAAGAGCAGAAAGAAGAAATAATGAAAAGAAAATACTCATCAAACTACTTGAACTCGCCTTTCCAATGCAATCTGTGCTATAAAGGTTTTATCGATAATAATGCTTGGAATCATCACGTTAGTAAACATTCTGAGGTAATGAAATCACTATTCTTGCTTACCCTTATATTTGAAATTTGAAATTCGAGTTTTATAGTTCACATTTTCTTTCTCTAGAGTGCTGGCAGCTTAGAGTGCGAAGTCTGCAAATTTCGATTCAAAACGAAACGTGCATATCAAAAACATGCATCTGGTCATGAAAAGAAATATGCGTGCAAATCGTGTCCTTATGTTTCTACCAATACGTGAGTATTTTTGTTTAAACAATATTTTCAAAAAAGGTTTTTGTACTGTACAGTAAAATCTTCATTTTCCAAGTATGAAAATGTTAAATAAAAAAGCATTGGACTCAAAAGACATCCTTGGGGCATTCCTCTACGTATTGGACCCAAAAGACATCCTTGGGGCATTCCTCTACGTATTGGACCCAAAAGACATCCTTGGGGCATTCCTCTACGTATTGGACCCAAAAGACATCCTTGGGGCATTCCTCTACGTATTGGACCCAAAAGACATCCTTGGGGCATTCCTCTACGTATTGGACCCAAAAGACATCCTTGGGGCATTCCTCTACGTATTGGACCCAAAAGACATCCTTGGGGCATTCCTCTACGTATTGGACCCAAAAGACATCCTTGGGGCATTCCTCTACGTATTGGACCCAAAAGACACCCTTGGGGCATTCCTCTACGTATTGGACCCAAAAGACATCCTTGGGGCATTCCTCTACGTATTGGACCCATAAGATAACCTTGGGGCATTCCTCTACGTATTTATTTTTCTTAATATTTCATTGTGAATGCTAAGTGCCATTCATATTTTTATCGCAATTTTTTAAACTTTAGTGCTATGTGTATAGTCAAAAGCTTTCAATTATATTATATTTTCAGGACACAAGCGAAACAGCATCAAGGCTGGCATAAAGGAGTAACATTTAAGTGCAAATATTGTGATGAAATCTTTCAGTGAGTTGACTGTTTCAAAACTTTAAAAAAATTATAGTTTGTGATTTATAAGGTCAATAGAATATTTTCATATCATCATCATCATCAAGAAGATGTCTTTACTCAGCAGTGGGCTATATAGCCTCATCTTCTCACACAGAAAATGTTTAAGCAAAAATAATCATGAGAACCGGTTGTCTTAATCTCTGGGCATCTTCATCTCAGACGTTTTTTCAGAGAGGTCACAGTGATTTAGCGGCAAACGGCTTACTTATTTCTTAAAAAATAGGTAATAAATATCTAAAATTGAGTGTATCGATCAATATTTTATTGTATTGAAACGTCGAATTAATTTATTTTTGGCCTAGGAAACTACTTAATTGTTCTAATAATGATTGTGTATATGTTTCAAGGGTATGGACATCGTATATGAGCCACACTCGTATAAAGCACCCCTCGGAGTTCATCTGCGGCGTGTGTGGGTACTCATTTATCAGTAAACTGGGGCTCGCCATGCACAAGACCATGATGCATAAAGATCTTCAGGTAAAATTATTTTTACATTTCAATTTTTAATATTTTTGTTTCAAAATCTATGTATATCGAGTTTATTGTGCTTGGTAGATAACAGCACTTATGAGTTAGGTCGGTTTTCAGTTCAATTAAGTTTGGTTCTGTCGCCGGCTTCATCCGGTATTTATAATATAATTTTAACTTGTAAATGTCCTGGTTTATGTATGGCCTAATTTGAAAATATCAATTCATTGTTTCGCTATCGATGTTTCACAATATGTTATTTTGAATATGCGTTTGAGTTTATCGTATTTAAATGTGCTTGGTAGATAGCAGCACTTGTACGTTTTTCAATTAAGTTTTGTATCGACGTTTTTTCAATATATTTTATTTTGTGTAAGAATTGAAAATTGTAGTACTTGCTATTACAATCTATATCTGTAAGTTTCAAGTGGTTGCAAAGGTTTCGGGTCATTTGGTTTGATTAGTATCGAATGCTTTTATTGACTATTTAGTACTCATATTACCTAGTCTTTCAGAAGTGATATATTTTATTACAGGATAAACCAGAAGAGACTACAGAAGACGGTCCGTACTGCGCGGAGTGCGACGTCAAGTTTGTGTCGAGCGTAGCGTACAAGCGGCATATGGTCATGTCCGTCAAACACACGCAGACTACAGACTCTATGTAAGTCATCTATGGTGCATTTTTGCCACAAAAATGTATGTACGCACGCCATTCTTGTGGCGGGGAAAATCATCAAATGACTTCTCTCGCCTAGGGTATGGCAAGAGGGAGTGTCAGACTCTTGCTGACTAGAAATTATCGGAATCCTATACCTAGATCCCCTCTCCCATCTCCAATCCCTTTTCAATCCTCAAATCCCGAACAACATACAAATGGCCCTTACAATTCCTTTGGTACCATCAGATGACCCGTTTGAGCGTTTGTCGATCTATCTCATTAAGGGCTGATTTTTCAATGCTTAGATAAAAGTTACCTGTGGAATAATAATGATGCTATCGCGTCAGAATGTTTGTATAAGACAGTGACAGCAACAATTTTATTACTCAGACAACATTTATCATTGACTATTGAAAACTCAGGCCTAAATAAACCAATTTGTAACTCGACAGTAAAGGTTGTCGAACATGTGGCGCGACGTTCGAAAACTCGGAGGAGTTGAGGCTCCACCACCGCAAGGAACATACCAGGAAGCGACCCAAGAACTACGGGAAGAGACCATCCACCAGCAACTGGCCAGCTAAGTGCGAACACGTATGTACTTTGCTATGATTTTTTCTGTATTTTTTAATTTTTTCTGTGCTTTATTGAATAAGACACTAACATAGTCCAACGTTGGAGTAAGAACAATCAAACTATTCAGCTTTATAATAAGTATTATTTTGTAGTCTATTCGCGTTTTTATAAGACATTTCAAAATCAAACCTTTATCATTATTTGTTCAATCAATTTTAACTTCTATTCCATAGCCTTAAGGATGGCATTAAAACACAACAGTATTTATAAAACCAACTATTTTCTTTCCATTTGTCCTTCCACCAATGTAATAAATCTCAAAATCGGTTGAACGGATAGTAAAAACCAGCTTTTCTTTAATGTGTCTTATGTTATTTTAAACAAAGTGTAGATCTGTAAAATATTATTAAATTTGTCAGTGTGAGGAAGAGATCCCCAGCGCCCGCGAGTACTGGACGCACTTTCGTCGCGTGCACCCGGACAAACCTTACCCGGTTGAGAAGAACCACGTCTGTGATATTTGTGGGAAGAGTTTTAGGGTATGTTTTTTTAGTTCTTTGGAAGTTTTTACTTGTATATGCATTCAAGCAGGCGGATCACCTGATGGTAAGCAATCAGGGCCGAGGGTCGACATCCGTAACATCAGAAGAAATACAAGTGTATCCCTTCCCTTTTGGGGATTGGAATGGGGGGTTGGTAGTCTCTCTCACATTGTTACAACTCAGCACTGTTTCTTTTGCGGTCCGTGGTATCACTCCGGTCGAAATGGTCCATTCGTCCCAAAGCATGATTCTCCCACTACAATTTTTTATTATCGTGGTTATATACATTCAGTATTACTTATATACATTCTAGAGATGCTTTCAATCGGACGAATAATATAATAGTTTCAAAAACAAAAGAAAAACCCTTAGGCTATATATTTCAACTAACTAGCGTTTTTGCTGCAATATTTGTATTAAACAGTTTTTCTCTCGAGTGTAATTTATGCATGGAACAACTCTTGTTGTGTGGATGCCCGTCCCAATGTGATGTGTATGTGAAGGCACCGGGGGGTTGATACAAACATAAACATCCCGATCATCGTCTTCACAGTCCATCGCAGGGCGTAGGATTTTATAATCAGACCGAATAAATTACAAAAATAACGTCGGCGGTCCATCTCCAATGACAGTCACAGCGCTCGCTCTCCGCTATAATGCGCACGCAGAACTGTCAGTTTGACGTTCCGCCAGAGTACGATTCATTGTACCCTCGTCCGATGAATTGTGATTAAACCTGCTTCAAAATTCAATTTAAATAATCGACGCTCTGTCATATGTTTATAAACGGATTCACAACACAGGAGTAATTCCTACAGTGGGGCAACGTTTTTTTTTTTAGAAGACAAGACGGAAAAAAATTGTTCCACAATCAAGTCCAATTTGGTTGGTGACTCAAACACTCAAGGTTAACAAAACAATCTCCTTTCGCAGGGCAACGCGTTCCTAGTATACCACAAGCGCACGCACTCCAGCGAGCGCCTGTACAAGTGCTCGCAGTGCGACAAGTCCTTCTACAACCGCAGCAACCTGCACGTGCATGAGAAGACCCACTCCGCCGCGCGACCCTACCCCTGCGACCTTTGTACGCGGGCCTTCAAGTCTAAGGGGGCACTTAGCAGGCATTTCAGGGTAAATACGTATATACTTGTTTTGTAGACAGACGAGCTGATAAAGGCCACAGAAAACTATGCAGGTCGCTTCGAGGCCTAAGTGAGGAAATGAAGGTCAAGATATCCAAACTAATATTATAAATGTGAAAGTAACTTTGTCTGTCTGTCTGTCTATCTGTCTGTTTGTCTTTTCTTCATGCCTAAACAACTGAACCGATTTCTGTGGAATCGGTTCAGTTCAGTTGGTACCGACATAGTATGGAATTCGAGAAGGGACATAGGATAGTTTTTATACAAAAAATCTGCAGGCAGTCACTACGTAATCCACGCGAACGGTGTCGCGGGCAAAAGCTAGTAATAATATATACTTTTATTTGTTGTGTTTGCTAAAGTTATTTTTTGTTTATAAGACATTTCTCAAATCAAACAAAAATCATGTTTATCTGATAAATTCTTCATACGCTATCCCCATGCCATTCCCGCGAAAACCGATTCCGTTAGATACGGTTTAAAAAGAAATATAAAATACAATAGATACATATTATGTTGGCATTATTAACTTTATCGTTGGCGACTAAAATGTCCAACAGTAAAACAGTTTAAAATGTCCAAATTCACTATAATTTTATGTTCCTACATTTTAACTTGTTTACCCTATTTTTCAGACGCACACAGGTCAAAAGCCATATGAATGTGAAGTTTGTGGGAAAGGGTTCTCGCAATCTAACAGTAGGAAGTTGCACGTAAGGACAGTACATCTTAAGCAACCAGCGCCGTACATCAGCCGAAGCCGTCTCGAAAGACGAAAACAGGAAAACAAGGAACCCACCAATGAATTTATATTCTAAACTAGCTATTGCTTGCACGCGTTAAAAGTGATATAGTTTTTCTGAGGGGCGGAGCGAGAAGGACAACCTCCCCGTTCCTTCTCTTGCACCTACAAATCCCCTTAAACTTCGTTATCGATACTAAAAATGTTATTTTATTTACACAATTAAAAACAAAACGGTAGTTTCCAACTAGTCAAATTCGATACTTTTATCCAAATATCAAGGTTTAAAGCGATAGCTCGTCTAAGGGCTGATTTTTTAATGGTTAGATAAAAGTTTTCTGGGGAATAATTATGATTCTATCTCGTCAGAATGTTTGTATAAGACAGTGACAGCAACAATTTTCTTCCTGAGATAACATTACAATATGACTATTGAAAAGTCAGCCCTAAAATACGTAAATCAAGTATAATTTATAGCCATTGTACTTCTGTCAAGAATCTATGTCGACAAAATCAATTGATAAAATTGGGTACAGAAGTACAGAAGCCGGCAGGCCGCTCATATTTAATTTATTTTACTTATTTTGATTGATTTTTCAAAATATGTTGCCTTACACTAGGATTTTCTTCTACGCCATAAGTGTGTTTATAAACATTGCAAATCACATGCTAACAATGATCTGTAGAAAAAAACTTGACGCATTATGTGGTTTTTGTTGGTATTGTGAAGAACTTAAAATTGTCATATAAAGTGCTCTGATTATCATGAAAGTACCATACACTAAGTACAGCGAGCGAATAGTAAACAGAGCATTCTAATATAATAACAGATTTAAACATATTTTTTACAAAACGCTATGCATAATAGAACTAACACCGAACTAGTGAATCGAGATTAATATTAGAAAAATACTCGTCGAATTGAGAACCTCCTCCTTTTTTGAAGTCGGTTAAAAAACAAGACTATATAGTAATAGGTACACATTTAATGTAGCAGTATTTAGTTCACCACAAATTATACTAATGAAGGTTACTTTTGCTCAATGGATAATTAAAGTTTTACGGGATAGAAATTAGGTTTTTTATTGGGTAGTAGACCTGTATGTGGATTGAGGTTGGGGGGATTGATTGGGCTTCTAGTAACTCCATTCACAAGGCGAACGCAACGCAGGCGTTGTTTCGCGTCAGTTTTCAATGAGGCCGTGGTATCACTTCGCTTGAAGAGGCTCGTTCGTGATAAAGCGGATAGCCTGAGCTTTATTCTAGACAAATGCCATCTGTTGAGCAAAAAAGGTAACCGTCATTAAAGTAGTGTATAATTTTATTGTATGCAATGATGTATATAAAGTAAGTAGTTTTAATATTTTTATACAATATGAAAGTTAATAATTAGAAGTGTAATTATGTAACTATAGTGAGACATACAATACCGCCAACGTATCTTGGCGAGTCTGAAGTTAGCCGATTAGCTGCGCAGTACAAAATTTTGTTCTTAAAAGATCCATTGCGCAGACAAACGGCTAACTTCAGACTCGCCAAGATACGTCGGCCGTACTGTAGTAAGTTTAATGAAAATGAAGACTTACTCACGTGAATTAACTGAGAAAAGCTTTACTTGTTTCAAGCCACAACGGGACTCTTATTCAGTCGATGCGTTTGCGCATTGCGTTGCCGACTGAACTTAGTCGGCTGCCCGTTGTGACTTGAATCACGATAAAAAAAAACTGAAGTGTATAATGAATTAAGTTTTATAAGAACTCGTATCGAGTCTACAGACTTGCAATATAAAAGTAATATAGGTTCATACGGCTATATATTATAACATATAGCGCTACTATTTACCAGTGTAAAGTGACACTTCAATCTGTGAGGACATAATACAAAGCAAGGTCTAGATGAACTGGTTTTGTAAACCTTGCTATTAAAACATGTGTACAAACGGCTTGCAGATCAATCTCTCCCAATTTGCCAAGTAAACAAAAAATACTGAATTTTAAACTTTATATGATAACAATAAAGAAGAAAATCAATTGAAGAAATTACGACAAGCAAATTCAGGTTGACCTGCTAGCGTGGCATAACTAGTATAGTACCTTATGGAATATAACTAGTACAAGTAATGGCCGCCATAATATTATTAAATAATTGTACTTGCTTTAGCTGTTTACCTAGCGAGTATTTTATTTTTAAAATTATTTAGCCTATGTTTTTGACATAGCACCGCCTATTTAGTTATTCAAGATTTAATTGTAGAAACCATCGACATATTGTACTAATGGACAAGCCATACCCGTAAACCCGTTTAATCTGCAATATTTTTTTGTTTGAAAAGAGTAAGAAGGATGACCTATGCTTACGATCTAGCTCTATCTCTTTTTTCATAGATTGAGAGAATACATTACTGGCATAAGTCAAGTTTGTGACAATTTTAATTATTTATGATTTTTTGTTCTAAATTAGGTAGTTTTATGCATCAAAGAAGTTTATGAACTAACAATTTTTGTTATTTTAGAACGAGAATTCATTACTAACTCAAACAAACTGCCACAAATTTAGCTTTTGCCACTAATGTATTTAGTCAGCGATATGTGGATGGTAGAAGCGTTTACTTGAGTTCTTATCTGGTACAGCAAAAAATAATTATTTTCCTCTATTTACAAAAATAATGCTTCAGATGGTATTTGAAGGACCTTATTAGGTCAACATGTATTATTATTTATTTCAATGTGTGGATGAATTTTATTATTTTTGGTAGGTACTTTATTCATTGGCAACGAAGGCCTATTTTTGTAGGCATTTAAGGATTCATCTTTAAATATATTTTGTTTAATATAAAATGCATAATATTTTGTTTAATGTCTTGGCTCAGGTTGTACGCCATTTTACGTTAGAAATGAATATTCATGTCTATCAAGTTGCGTAATGCTGTTTACATAAACTGTGTAATTTAATTTATTTTAAGTTATCCGAGGAGAGTATTAGTTGTGATCATAAATATAATGATAATATTCTTTTTGTTTATTTACTTTACAATAAAAATATATTTAAGGTAATTTAATATTGCGTTTTACTTGTTACTACCTACTCTCGCGCGGTTTCACCCGCTGTTCAGCTCCATTTGATCGTAGCGTGATGTTTTATAGCCTATAGCACTCAGGAACATTGTAGCTATCTGTCAGTGAAAGAATTTTTCATTTTTCAAAGATTATCCCCTACATACAAACTTACAAATATTACCTCTTTATAATATTAGTCTAGATATCAATAGCTTGTTGCCAGATTGTATCAAACGTAGCAACATCCATGGATACTAAATACCGGGTCGCTTTTATTATTAAGCTTTCGTGTGTTTTAAACGTGGATGAAATGGCGACAGGTCACTGGAACAACTTGCGACCCACGGATGCCCCTCAGGTTGAAGGGTAAAATCTACAAGTCAGTGATAAGGCCTGTCCTACTGTATGGGTCAGAATGTTGGGCTCTGAAAAGGACGGATGAAAAGCGATTGCATGTAGCAGAGATGAGAATGCTGAGATGGATGTGTGGTGTGACGAGAATGGATAAAGTGAGAAATGAGTATATTAGAGGAAGTTTGAAAGTGGCGCCAGTGACTGAAAAGTTGAAAGGGAACCGTTTGTCTTGGTATGGCCGCATGTGAAAAGGAGGGATGAAAAGCGTGTAACAAAAAAAGTCATGAGTATAAATGTGGATGGATGGGGAGGGAATGGGAGACCAAAGAAAATATGGATGGATTGTGTGAGAAGTGATATATGGAAGACAGAGTAGTTAGCGATAGCGTGACGAGTGACAGGACAGAATGGAAGAAAAAAACATATTGCGCCGACCCCAAATAAAACGGGACAAGGGCAGGAAGATGATAATGTGTTTTAAACGTGGATCCACGCGAGACACAATGCATTTTCTATTGTGTCTCATAAACCGACATTCAACGGGTTAATCTACCCACGGAATAGAAAATACAGAATCTACCTATGGATCTTATTACCAATATAGTAGACAGATTATCAAAGTATTTTAGCAATTATTGCATCTTTTTATTTTACTACAATGATAATGGGACCCGTTTTGGTGTTTTAATGTGAGTAGGCTACGTAGAGGCATGATAAAATTTTCGGGCCATGGTAATGGGCCATGACTATCAAAAGAATATCTTATTTTACATGTTTTTTGAACAACGCCACAGTCTGCACATTCCTCACGTTCGCTTTTAACCATCGAATAATGATAAATATATATAACAATAATACAAAACA